ATCCACCAAATAAAATCATGTTAATCCATAGGCATCGTCAAAGCGTCCGTACTAGGGACCGCCACATGTTAACAGAGGTCAAAACATTTCTTTTCTGTTGATCAACGGGAAAACTAAAATGAACAGAGAAACAGTAGGGTGCTGCAGGTCGGGTGTGAGGACAAATACTCGCCGAGGACATGAGCTAGGGGTCGTGAATTGGCAGAAGCTGGAATTTATGGACCACTGGATTGGGTCCCAATGGCTTAATGGTCTACGAGCCCACCAGGTTTGTAACCACAAGGTCCTGGGTTCGAACCTCACTGGGTGCGTGCTGATGAAGAGTCATGAACTAGGATGAAGCAGCTGTCCATAACTCCCAGTTGGCTTTCTAATGGTTCTCTAGCCGATGTTAGCTCATGATGAAATCTTGTAGCCAATCAACCAAATCCCTACAAATCAATACTTGAATATCCTTCTTGATAACAAGTCAATAAATATTGGGATTCCAGTAGAAATCTTTAAAGAATTGTTACTAAAGTGTACTATGAATGTGAATTTTAAATTTGACAGTGAACTCTATAGACAGATGGATGGGGTGGTATTGGGCTCTCTACTGGGTCCTATGTAAGCAGATTTCTTCTACGTCAACTAGAAAATGGTTCTCAACAGGAAATTCTCACTTTATCGCCAACATATACATAATAACTTCATGCTTTGTGAAAATGAATTGGACAGGAAGGCAATAATATTTCAATTGAATGAACAGTACATTCAGCTATCAGATTCACGTGCAAATTTGCTAAAGGAATCTTGTCAGACTGTGAACACCCACTCTACCCGCAGCTTCAACTTTGTGTCTCTTCAGATAAAACAAGAAGTCTTTTCAGAAGACTATGCACGTACGTCTAAGTATAAAAATTCTACTATACCATATTTGGCACGTACTTTATGTGATAAAAATAGCATCAGGCATGAACTAACTAACCTTCTTTGCACTACTAAATAAACTATTTCCTCCACCCTTACACCATCAAACTTTATTGTTATTGTATTTCATATATTTATAATCCTCTCAATTTTTTGACTTTTGATTTACAGCTTGATTCCACACTGTACTTTTGGTACAAGTATGGAATTTTCAGCATGGATGTTGGTAGCCCAAATTTTGTAGGCCGACCATAGATATCAGGTGTGTGTCGGCAGGGGATCGAACCTCGGACCATGTGCATGGTCGGCGAGAGTCCTAACCACTGTGCCACCGACGCATATACGATTACAATTTAAAGTGAAATAAATAGCCAAAAAGTTGAAAAAATCGATTCATAGGACATGCCAGTATGCTGAAGCTTGTATTTTCCATACAACCAGCTGTGATCTCGAAACTGAAAAAGATGCATACACTAACCACTTCTAATTGCACTATCTATCAATTCAACTACTACTGTGGAGCCAGTTATACTGACCGTGCTGAAAATTCCATACTTGTACCAAAAATACAGTGTGGAATCAAGCTGTAAATCAAAAATCAAAATCAAAATCTAGGAAATTAATTTTTCGTACTTTGAAACACTCATCAACGTGGCTAAGTACAGGTGTAGTTAAAACCCTCAACTGTTTAATATCAGATCACTTCATCGAAACAGACTACAAAGCTAGCCACATTGAAGCGCCTTTCTCTATTACACATTGGGTATAGAGAATACATTACCAAAGGCCTCTAAATACGTAATACTGCAAACAGCAGAGGCCATTGTAATTCGCTTAAATCAACCGGAGCTCTGTATGCAATGCAAAAGAAACACCTCCAGCGATTATGGCTACCCTGGTCTACTGTCAAGCCGATAAATTCATAAATTCTCTGTTAATTCCCCTTAGTTTTATCTGATATTCAGACACTTTAGTGTTGTTATATTATTAATGCATATTACCTCTTACTAATGCTTCTTAACTGTAATCTGTCAATACTATTGATTCCATGTAATTTAAAACAATAGTAATGTTAATTATTATTATTGTTATTGTATCCTTTAGTTCCTAGAGGAACATAGGGCTTCAGCTGCGCACCTCCATTGACTTCGGTTTTCTGACAACTTTTTCAACCTGCTCCAGGTCTGTCCACATGCTTTCATCTCCTCCTCGCATGACCTCCTCCAAGTCACCCTTGGACGACCAACTCGCCGCCTCCCTTTCGGGTTCCACTCGAGGGCTTGTCTAGTGATGTCACTTGATGGTTTCCTCAGCGTATGGCCAATCCATCTCCATTTCTTTCTGCCTATTTGTTTCACAATCGGTTCCTGATTGGTTCGCTCCCAGAGATCCCTGTTGCTGATCTTTTTTGGCCATCTGATCTTGAGTATTGAGCGGAGACAGTTGTTAATGAAGGTTTGAAGTTTGTTTGAGATGCTCTTTATGACTCGCCAAGTCTCTGATCCGTATAGTAGCACTGACTTCACATTGGAGTTGAAAATCCGGATCTTATTTTTGATGCTGATTGCTGTTGACCTCCACACAGATTTGAGAGTAATGAAAGCTTGTCTTGCTTTTCCGATTCTGGCTTTGATGTCCTCGTCAGTTCCGCCTGTAGTTGAGACGATGCTTCCCAGGTAGGTGAAGGAGGTTGTTTCTTTCAGGTTCTTCCCATTTATGCTTATTGTGGTCTGTTGGTGTTGTTGATGTTGGCTAGGAATCTTCATTATCTCTGTTTTATCTATGTTCACGTGAAGTCCTATCTTTGATGCTTCTTCTGCCAACTTGTTACTTTTCACTTGCATATCTTCCAGTTTATGGGAAATCAGACATATATCATCGGCGAAATCCAGATCCTCCAAGTCTTTTGTGTCAGTCCATTTTATGCCTGTTCCCTCGTTGGTTGCCGTTGTCTGTCGCATTATCCAATCAATTGCAATCAGGAAGATCATTGGTGATAGTAGACAGCCTTGCCTCACTCCCGTCCTCACTTCGAAGGCTTCCGTAAGTTTCCCGTTGTGGATTACTTGGCATGCAGCATTGTCGTATAACTGTTGGATGAGGTGTATAATTGTCGATGGGACCCCGTAGTAGCGAAGTAGTTTCCAAATGACCTCTCGATCGACGCTGTCGAAGGCCTTTTCAAAGTCGATGAAGTTGAGATAGAGAGGTGACTGCCATTCCAAGCTTTGTTCAATGATGATCCGTAGAGTGGCGATTTGATCAATACATGATTTGTTTCTCCTGAATCCAGCCTGTTCCGGACGAAGTTTTTCATCTAGGGCTTGTTAATAACAATATTTGTTTAGCTATTACTGTCATATAAATAAATGTAGAAACTGATGACGAATTTATAAGAATATTCTTTGTTCATTAATTAGTTGTTGTTTTTTTAAAATTCATCATGGGCATATTCAATCAGTTAAAATTGACTTCAATACGCTTAATACTGATACACAAAACTTCATAGTGAGTGAATAAAAGAGTGATTTATTAAACATAGTTTTTTGGGGTTGTTCGGTTGATTTTTTTCCCTATAATTTCTACTATCTTAAGACAATTAGCATTCTCTTTGTTAAAACAATTATAGCTTAACTACATTACATATTCACACCTAAAGGAACTCTACCATGGGATCACCAATATCCCCGGTTGTAGCAGATATATTCATGCATAGGTGGGAAAAGATAGCGATTGAAACGTTCACCCCCCACCCCAAAAGTATGATGGGGGTATGTAGATGCCACATTCACTGTACTTAGAACACAAGATATATATAGATTTTTCGAACACATCAACTCGAAGGTAGAGGCAATTCAATTCACTTATGAATTGGAAAGTCAGGAAGGGGAACTTCCAATGTTAGATTGCAACGTAAAAAGGAAAGAAGATGGGAAGCTAAACACTAGTGTTTACAGAAAACCCACACATTTAAACAGATATTTGGATTTCCGATCATCCCATCCTATGTCAGTAAAAATAGGATTAGTGAAATGTTTAAATGACAGAGCACAAAAACTAAGTAGCACCAAGGAAAATCTAAGACAGGAAGTGATACACATAAAAGAAGCCTTGAAACTTAATAATTACCCGGTTAAATTAGTCAAGAAATATGTAAGTAAATGTAAAAATAAAATAAATAATGATAATAGCGATAGTGATAATAATAATAGTGATAACAATAATAATGATACTAATAATAGTGGTAATAGCAATAATAATAATGACGACACCAACAATAAGGAATATAAATCATCAGTGTTAATTCCATACAAAGAAGGAACCTCGGAAACCACCTTACGCAGAATCCTTACCAAGGCAGGAATAAAAGTGGCTGGCATTCAAACCAACCACGAACTCAATTAGAAACAAGCTTTGTCGGTTAAAAGATAAATCCTGTGGAGCCTTTAAAACAAAACAATTTAGTTTATCTAATACCCTGCCTGTGATGATTGTCAGGTCAAATACATAGGTCAAACTAGTAGAACAGAGGCAGTCAGACTAGCTGAACATAAAAAAGTGGCAAAATCTAGATTGGTTGACCCAAATAAGATAAGAAGTCTAGAGAATAGTTCAGCCATAGCACTACATGCAATTAAACACAACCATACAATAGGATGGGATAGGATGACAGTTTTAAAATCTAACGTCACAGAGTATAGGCAGAGATTGATAATAGAAGCTTTGTTCATCGAATCAACTGAAAACTAACACTTGTAATAGGCATGATTCAACACCTGTCCACCCAGATATCCATAAAATTCCACTACCCCTACGATAAATAGGAGAAGACAAAGAAAACTATAAAACTCAAGTTTCAAAGTCGTGTGATTACAATTGATATGATTATGAAGAATAAATTTTGTTCGAAACCTTGTCATCCAGTAAATAATACTGTTTCACTGTGTGATACGTCTAATAAACAAACTAATATGGAATCTACCTAGCCAATTCATCATAATCGTCTAATGACCAGACCGAAAGTTACTCATCTATCCGCTCATACTATACACTTCTTCTCCAGCCATAAAAAGACATAACTTCTTACTCACCTTTCTGAGCAAACAAAGTCAATTATTTCAATTTTCAATGGTTTAAAACCCTTAGTTTGTCGTAATTCATTCAACTTCTCACAATTCTAAAATGATAAAGAAATAGAGAAAAAAAATTATCAGACAAATTAAAGTAAAAAATTAAGCAGCTAACATCACATGTAGTCAAAACCCCTAACTCTTGACCATCGTCTAGACAAAGACTTCTGGATGCAAGTTATCTGACGTATTCTTTGAGGTAGCATTTTTTAAACTCTATACACAGTTTGCGCGTCAGTGGCATAGCTGTTAGGACGCTCGCCGACCATGCACATGGTCCGGGGTTCGATCCTCGGCCGACTCACTTCTTTACCTCGCTCGCTAACCAGAAATAAAGCTGATAAAGAGGAAAGGTTGGGCATGAGCCGGCTAGCAACCCCATCCTGTAAAAATAACCCCTGCTACAGAAACTTCAAGCCCTACGTTCCACTGGAAACGTGAAGGAATAAAAATAACAGAGTTGTCAGATGTGTACATCCCATTCACATGTTAAGGATGAGCTATGAATACAAACTTGTTATAGTATAGTTATCAAGAGATGAAATAAGCTCATTGCACTCTCATGTTGTTACAGACAAATTCCCGGCGAAAATGTTATTCAGTAAATAATAATAATCCATCACTATTCTCTATCAAGAATATCTAATATGAAGTTGGAATATTCTCCATTCTTTCGTCCAATGGGCCAAGTTAAACTTTAAACACCACTAACTAACTACCAATGGAGGGCGTCTGCACCATTGATCTTGAATGGTCCAATGAGTTTTATTCACGTGAGTTGAAGCTTCTCTGTTCCGCTTGATTCAAGTCAGGGAAGGTAAGCTGATGGTTCTAATATTTTGTAGGAAGATGTTTTGCTAGATCCCATTTTTCCCTAACCCAGATTTTGTATATTTGTGTAATTACTGGGTTTTAAAACAGCCTGTGAGAGGCGCAGCTACTGAAACGTAAAACAGTCATTAACAGTTCACTGGTGCCAGCAGTGCAGGCATATTACATCCTGGAAAGTGGAGAGGCTCACTTCCTTATTGGGAGGAGAAGCCGTCTTCGTACATGTATATGAAACTGTCTGACTAAAGAAAAAAAATACAATCGTGATCTAAAACGAGTGAATAAGATTCGTCGAGAGGATAGCAGATAGAAAGTCAAGTACTTGAACACCCATTATTAATCGACTGGTGAAACAAGGATTTATAATACACTCAGATGAGTGGAAAGATTATAACTCCTAGTCATCCCTTGGAAATATATTCACCACAGAGTCAACCATTCTAATGATTTTTTTTGGATCCCATTACACACAGACCCACCCACACCAAACTATAGAAAGCAAATCCTATTAAAGGCTTTTGGGGAAGGTTAAAAAACAACAGGATTAGAGCCATTAATGGATAGCAAAGCGATGTCCTTAAGATTGTGGTGAGAGTAGGCTGCTAGCCAATTAGTAGACATTAATCGACGCTGATTGGTAGATATTAATCTAGGCTGATTCAACAACCAATCACAGCAGACTTGAACGTGGGCAAATATGATTCGCAGATAAATGGCTCTACTTTCCGAGAAACATCGAAAACAACCAATCAGGAGACTGTGTTTGTCTTCCGAGAAACAACCAATTAGAAGACTGCCTTTTTCTGCTTGCATAAGTCTTATTAACGTACATAAAATATATATAAATACGCGTTGATTTTTGTAATAAAACGATCTGTTGCCTGGCCCTTGTCTTCTGTTGTTACAAGATGAATATACGCATAGGATGTGGTGTAACTTTTCCATTGATACTGCTATGTTAAACTGGGAGATGTTTTTTATCACATGTGAGTGAAAGGTATCCTATGTAACACTTTTAAACAGTTTTTATGCGTTATTTTTTCTCATAAATATACGTATTCCATACCCAAAAATGCCTCCTCCATGTCATTGGCGCGTTCAAGGTCATTCATCCGCTGATTGGTAGTTAGTGGTACTTAAAGTTTAAACTTGCCATCTTTTTATAATAAAATTAAATAACTTTCCAACGAAACGTTGGAATTACTCATTTCAGTCTCGCTGAGATTTTTTACAAATATAATTTTTACAAACTTTCTACTGCTGTTCACCTTTCATCTATATTACATTCATGATGTGTACATCAGCTTGTTTACATTAAGAATACTTGAGGTTATTTTATGTGATTAGGGTTAAACGTAATGCTAGGTAAAGAGGGATAACTAATCCATACGGTTATGAGTTGTTATCGATCAAAATGGCTGGAACATATCTTACCCAGACATCATTCTTCTAGACGAGCTGAAGTAAAAATCAGGTTAGAAAAGTTAGACACGGTCAAACAAGAGACATGTCATCTATCCATAAAGTCATTAAGTGTTGGTTTGAGTTATCCGGGGAGGTGTAGGTTGTCTGACTTTGGACCTCAGAATGCTGAGAATCTGTTACTGAAGATTCCTAATAATGGCTTGGAACCATTTTCAATGTATTCCATCCATTGTCATCTTTCGAAATTCGAAAGATTCTACTCATTTCTATCTAATTATTCTCTGTTGCGTATCTTCGTCTAGTGTGGTCTTATTCCAATCCTTTTCTTTACTTTATTGCGTGCTTATCTAAGGTATTCTTTTATTCTTTACGCTCCGAGTGGAACATAGTATTTCGAGCTAGAGCTCTGAAGTTTCAGTAGCATTGGCGTTTATTTTTTTAGCCTCATACCCAACCTCCCTCTTCACTAGTCTTATTACTGGCTTAGCGAGGTAGAGGAGTGTGTCAGTAGGTTGGGGACCAAACCTTGAACCACCTGCTTGGATGACGAGCATTTTACCGCAGTGCCACCGATGGGTCAATGAACACGTACACCTTAGGAAGACTGTTCAAAGTCTTACAAGATAACTTAGCACAGTTCAGTTGGAGAAGAAATCAACTACTTATTTCTTTTGGGAACTTAATTAACAAGTCAAAGTCAAATGAAAACAAATAATTAGACTATTTAGAATAGCCTACATACTATATAAACACAATAAAGATACAAGTGGGTCGCACTAAAATGATTACTATTAAATCGTAAACTTGGTACATAATGACCATCAAGAGATGTGCAACACAAAATCTCATAGTTTGTGCAAAAGTTGGGCTACTGCCCGGACGCCTAGACCACCCACACTTGAGCTTTTGACTTGAAGTCTGATCCACAAGGTAGCGGAGCGGCGCCAGAAACTATGTCCCCATAGCTACCAGTAACCAAAACTGGTTCATATCCCATTCAGTCCATCTGGATTCGGGAGCCTATGTAGCCCATAGGCTTGGAGTCAAAGTTTTCCAGCTTCCCAGGTAGACGCGAATGTTCTGTTGTAAGCTCCAGACATTCGCAATCGCTTTTTCACTTTTGTGTGGAACACTTCGGCCATATGAAGGCTGTGGGCGGGATTCACCTGACCGAGGTTATGAACGCGTAGCCATATAAACGGATTTCGAGGGGAAGATAGACGTCTACCCACCCTTGGCTATACCAGGCTGTTTATGGGATCACACTACTATTAAACTTGTAAGATGAAACATTATTGCATAACTTTTAGTTAGCATACTCACATGAAGAGATTCAGAGCTAGCTACAATACAATCGAATTCTGCACAATATCCTGGTGGACCAAATTCATCGGATAATTCAACAATTTTCACATTCTCTAGTTGTACTCCAATATCAGTGAGGAATGCTTGAACAGCTAGTTTACGCTTTTCCCAAGAAAATATGAAAGGACTAAGACATTTGCTTGAAAGTAATTTAGAACATGTTATGCCGATAAGTAGTTGTTGTTTAGCTAGTAAAGCGCCAACAGTAAGTAAAATTTTATGTCCATTATGTAGTCGGTCGAAAGTACCACCAAGGCATACATGCGAGATATCTTGATAGGCTTCATCTAATGACTTATCATCATCATCATTTGACTTGTCATCAACTACTGTTGGGTCTAAATCGGATTCATCTATAATAAAAGAAAATAATTGTGAATACACCAACAAAAGGCATTGCATAAAATAAGTATAGTCAATAATAGACCGCAAAAATAAGGCAGATACCTGGAATACAGATTAAATTTAAACCTCCTAGTTAGCAAACCAATGGTGTCATAGTGGTATTATGTAGGGTTAAGCTTAAAGATCCTTAAAGAACCTCATGGTGATGTACACTGGGAGTAGAAGCGGTCATATTTTCTTAATGATAATAGTAATTTGCGAACCGAAGTTATATAGTATTTCAATGAAGGAATAGCTAAGGCATACAAGAATTTAAATATCTGATCATCGGTGTCTATTTTGATCTTGTCAATAAGAAAAACAATGTTAGTGCTTACCATGCTAAGAAACCGAAGCTGATCACATCTTACCACCGTAAATGAGCTTGCAATTCAGTTGAGCTGTGAGCAGGACTTATCACTACTCAATTCCCACACAACAAATTTTAGTAATACAAACGTCTGTGTCTACCCACCTCTCAATGATTTCGTCAGGAGTGCGTATAATAAAAATTGATATATGAGTACAAACAAGTCAAGAATTAGTAGTGAAGGGATTTTTGTTAGACACTGTTATCGATAGCTGAAAATATTTTACTTCTATATTTGATGAAAAACTGAACTAATTCACTCCACGAGTAAAATTCAAGTCGAAAGTAAACTTTATCATGAAGAGATATCAAGTGAAACAACTACCGGAAACTGAGGAGTGTTGGATAGCCGCCTTATTTTAGTTTGAGACTGATAAGGAAAAAGAAGAGCTGAATCTAGTAAGAAGTTAATGACTAACGATTATCTTTTATAAACTATAGTGAAGCGCCATCACCATCCACAGTCACTACTGAGATGCCAAACTCACATCTGACTTAGAAGATCCCACTGCTGGGACGAAATAAGTGTCTAATTCTTCATTGTTTACAATGGTTCTTTAGCTTATGCAGGTTCCCATATTACGTGATATAACATGGTGAGCAATATTGAGGTTAGGCGAGGAGTGTTAAGTAAGGAAAGAAATTCAATCGATAAGTTCATGAAGTTATATAGATTGAGGTGGCTAAGACAGATGCGTGTTACGCAAGGCAACCCATTACCTTTCTTGTCGATTAATGTCAACTGACATATGATTAGATTGGAAAAGAGTTAGGGGTGGTCAAACAAAATACTCACATAAATCCATGTAAGCAGATACAGACTGGCTGGTTGGAATTAAGAATCGATGATCTCAGACTGTTAATGATATGGTTCTAAAAGGTTCTCAATAGCGCAGATGTATCCACTCTTTGTAATCTCCTAGATCCATTGAATCATCATGTTTCTCCGTGTAATTACTCTTTTGAATTTCTTTTCTTCCTCCCCTTCTTTCTCTTTGCGTGGTATTAGGAAAGGAGTGTGGCAACTTGCACTGTTACACTTCTGTGAAAAGTTCTTTGTCGGAACACAGTCAGTCCATCAGTATCTCATATATTATATCTCGTTTATTCACTCACTCAATTTCCTGACTGCTTTTCCAAATGAATTCAGGTTTCATTCTAGGCTAAATCTAGACTTAAAAAAAGCATGAACACTGATTAAATATTCAAGTGTTGGTTTGTAGGGATTTGATTGGTTTCAGGATTTCATCATGAGCTGACATGAATTAGAGAACCATTGGAAAACCTTCAGGGAGTACTAGAAAGCTGTTTCCTCCGTCCTAGTTTGGGACTCTTCATCAGTACGCACCCACCGGGTTACGAACCCAGGACCTTCCGGTTAACAAGGCGAGCTCGTGTACCATTAAGCCACTGACACCCGATCCAATGGTCCTTGAATTCTAACTTCTGCCAATTCACGACATAGCGCGACCGCTAGCCAATGTCTTCGGCGAGTATTTGTCCTCACACCCGACCCGCTGCACCCTACTGGTCACGACTTCCCACTGGAACCCAGGTAACTACCTACCTGAATAGGGGCAGTCGAAGACATTGGCTAGCGGGCGCGCTATGTAGTGAATTGGCAGAAGTTAGAATTCAAGGACCATTGGATCGGGTCCCAGTGGCTTAATGGTATACGGGCTTTCCAATGGTTCTCTAACTAATGTCAGCTCATGATGAAATCCTGAAAATAATTAAATAAACATCAACAACACCTCTATCCGTTTATTAAATAATACTATTACATCAAGATTGAGAAAGCCTACTGCCAAAAAACAAATATATATGCTAAACATCTCTTTTTCAATCACAACCAGTAGAAATTTCATAAATAAAATACTATCCCACCTAAGAAAATTAGTAAAATATCTTGCCTTTAGTAGCGTATAAAATATTGTCATCATATAATGGATCAATATTGTGAACTTCTTTCAAGATCCAAGCATGACTGAATTCAGATCCTGGTGAAATTACAATATCGAATTTTACTGAAGGCTTTAAGGATGTAGTTTTGAGAGGAGGAGGAGGAGGAGCAGGAAGAAGAAGACAAATGTTTAGCGATGGACACACCTGTAAATTTTAAAAATAATCAAAACAGAAATAGACGACTAACCTGATAAGCAATTGTATAACACAGTGTAGCTGTTCTCTTCCAATAGGTGAAATTTAAAGGACTTTGTGGGACAGTTAAAAATAACTTTTCATTCACCATATTCTTAGCATATTTTAACAGCGAAGACAATTTATGAGGACGGATATGAGGCGATAAAATAAGTAAGCCAGATTGGTACATACTACACAACAACTAGGAGTTTTACTGATGTGTTAACAACCTGAAAAACAATCAAAAATATACATCATACATATTTGTAATCCTACTTATTGAAATTAAGTGAAATCAAATGTAGTGGTACAATTTGCCAAATTATGTAAATTAAAATCTCCGATAGAAAACAAATTTGCAGGTGAAGTTTTTCTGTCAGTTTAATTCATGAGAAATACGTACTTACTGATATTCGAATATATCAGTGTTACGCGAAAAAATATACAAGACACAGATTATAGTTTGATTAAAAACGTGGTCGCTCACTAGTCTGACCTACATCTAGATATTATCACTGATTGACCAGTTTCAACACAAGTGCAGCAGTTCAGGCTGCTGCCATACTGTCCATGTAACACACAAAGACAAATGGGAGAAAGAAGAAAAAGACTCGAAGGAACGATAGATAATAAGCAGAAATGTGAAGGAGAAAAAATAGTAAGATGGGAAAAACGATACGTTCCAATGGATACAGTAGACCACAAAGAGTGAATACATCTACACCATTGACAAAGGATTTGAGCCATATTACCAATTATCTCCAACCTTTGGTTATTACAATCTCAAAGACCCCAACCAGATGGTCTACACCTACTTACATGGCTCAAACTGTTACTTAGTAACATTTGTGACTTTGGTTTATTAAGGCTCCTTTAGATGTCTTATTTTCCTCCCCTTCATCTGACCCGTTGGTGTCCGACATGAAAATCGAATTGGTATATTCTAAGACGTTTTCAATAACACTACATTCCATGAAATAATAGACTCAAATGACTGGACTTTCAGCGGTATGAAACGAAGACATCTTGACTTGTTCGTTTGACAAAATGGCCATACATTCAAGAAAAGAATTGGTTTTTGTACGACCTTTTAACTTGTTCATAGTAAAATACGATCTTTATTCACTCTTAGACACAAAACACGAAGTAATTATCTTGCATATGTCAGTAACCATGGGTAATTCAAGGACTGGAGATTATTGGAGGTTGAAGTAAACGGTGTGGTAGAAAGTTGACCCACTATCGGCATAATATGAAAACCTTGGAAAAGGCCTACCATACAAAAGTTGTTAACAAATCTGCAAATGCTAAGACAATGAAAAATATAGCAACGATTGGTGCATCTTGTACTCATTCACATTAAAACACTAGTACTTTACTTATGCTTCTTATAAAATTATAGTATAAGTGAATAACCTGCTGTCTTTCACTACAGTTTCTAAAATATTCCTATCACCATGCTCTATACAAATGCAGACTTCTGGAATTCCATCAATATTTACAACACTTATCATATCTAATACGACTGTAGAGCTGGTTGGTCTATTAAGTAAATATATCTTATTTAGAGCAATTAACTTCCGCTAGTTAGTCTTCAGTTGAAAAAGAGATGGCTAGGAGCAAAGATGGAAAGGACCAAGTGAACTTTGTTTTCTTACATCATCCAAAATAGGACTAAAGTATGTGGAAATCTCAGTGCAAACATCTATAGAAATAGGAAGCCTACAAATTATTATTCCCACGATATCTAAAAATAACTGGCCGGCACAATAAACAGAAGCAAATACAGTTTTCAATAAGATCTCCGTACAATATTTTTGAAAGAATGTTGTTTAGATATCAAAATCTAAATATATCAAAGATGACTTATCTCTGTAGCTCTATTTTACGCGCGACAGAATTAAGCACCATTGTTACCTTTCTGTAGAAATCGAAACTTTGACTTCCAATATTCTGGCAATGGCATCACTTAGAATACCTGACTTAATTCTATACTGAAGGTCTCACAACAAAAATCGCTTATAAAAATATGGGTTTCTTGGTAACACCATGGGAGACTGAATACATGTTGATGAAAAAGAAATTTTTTACCCATTCTGTGGGTAAACTTGGCACGATAGTGGTTACGGAAATCTTATTTTCAAAACCAACGATTCTCCTTCCTACCTTCACGTTGTAAGGTTTTAGTTTCAAACAGTCACAGAAAACGTTCCTAAACTAACTTCAGTTTAGGGCTTATTATCAATTTAAAGGACCTATCTTGAATTGAAAACAATACACAGCAACCACCGATAAGTTTTTTTTTGGTAAACCTGTTTGCACAACGGAACCCTAGAAGCAAATACTACACAGTATATCATCAGTTTCTGAAGTAGCCGATAATTCTGCTGCAAGGCAGTGGCGTAACACAAGTGGAGAAATGTCATCACTGATTAACACGCCATCATTCATACTGAAAATGGATGAATGAGACAAAACTCCTTACTAAATTTTCTTTTTCGTAACTGCTTTACAAGTTCTTGAAAATAAATAAATTCGCTTCTATTCTAGAAACATTGCGACACTTATGAGGCTGAATAAACGACACGTTTGTAATGGATTACTATCCGAAAACAATGCATATGGAGATCACGTGATCCTAAAGTACATTAGAAGCCAATCTAAAACTTAGGTGTGACTATGAATTTAAAGCTTAAAGAATACTTAATAAACTGCGGCAACTTAACGAGAAAAGCAATACGGAGGGCGTTTTGCGCCCTTTAATATTTATTAAATGTTATACTTGCTCATTAATCATTTAGCCTTATACGAGGAGGTGGTACTTTGGATTTTTCCATAAGATCTTTAGCTATCTTTTGAACGCGATGCGTTGATGTTCTGAATTATGTCTTCAGAAGCGCAGAACTAAGCTTTAGACTTGATAATTGCCCACGTACTTAACGTCGAGACCTTGAAGTCTGAATGGTGCGCTCGACCCTAATCAATCAGATTTAGGTTCATATTTCTGTTTGAGAATGTTAGGCTTAGAGTTCATCTTAACCTTTCTTAATAACGTATCTGGGCTTATGTTATCCCCTCTCAAATGGATCGATTGAATGGGCAGACATCACTTTCTTTGATGGCTGGTTCCAAAATTTAATGAATCGATGGAGAACTATTTCAAAATCCAATATCCTGATTACGAGCTAGCATAAACCAGTGATTTCTTTGAGCTCGCTTCTTGATTGTAAGGTAGAGGTTCCAGATCTTCAGTGAACTTCTGCGTAGTAAGTCCCACCACTCGACTGCTTTAGCTCTGGTAGACTCCAAGAGGAGTGGGGCGGAGATTAGTCAGAATGTGGTTTGTAGTATGCAGTATGTTAGGACTGTGCTGCTGCCGTCAATGGAGTTTGACCTAACTCCCGTTGGTCATTCGGTGTATTCATAAAACCAGAATAGTAATAACAATAATAGGTTGTAGTGTAGATAATATAGGTTGAGATAAGTGAAATAATAAAGGTGACCCAAGGAAAAAGATAGAGTAGTTGGTACAGTGAGAGAAGGCAGAACAGGTCGTGGGATTTAGTTTGTGTGCTTATCCATTGACAGTGTGGTTTTAAGTTTTATGAGGATAAGCCATTCAGACACAAACCTTGCATTTCTGCATGATTGTCCAGTTTCCGCTTAAAAATCTCCACAGTTGGCGCTGTAGTCACGGACGCCGGTAAAGCGTTCCAGAGACGGCAAACTCGAAGCGAAAAGAAATTAGAACGCACTCTAGTCTTTGGTCTCTGATGTGCTATCCTTAGCGGATTACCTCATGGAAGCCTATAATCACTTGATGGCAGAATGCTTTTATTTGAGTAGGCCTGATCATTTGAGATCTTGTAGACGGTGATGAGGTCTCCCCTGTGTCTACGGCAACTAAGTGAGAAAAGACTTAATTTCTTCAGTCTTTCCTCGTATGATTTGTTGTGGAGACCGATCACCCATTTTGTCGCTCGTCTCTGGACACTTTCTAGAATGTTAGTTTAGGGGGTTGGTGGAATTATCTTACACCGCCTCTAATTTATTAGTTCTCGCGTACCAATAACAAAGCAAAAGCCAATATTTGATCGTCCAAACCAAGAGATATATTTTGGGACCAAAACAAGCCTTCAGACAAACGCTTAGCTAGCTAGTGATCGTGCACGTTACACGACGGGGTACCAAATGGCGGGGATGCTTGACCGGAAGCCTTCAGCTAAACAAGTCGACTTAAACAGTGGTGGTCAGCATCCAATGAGTGATTGCTGTGGTCAATAATTTTGGGGAATTATTTACCGCTACAGCTCACTCCCCCCCTAGTGGGGTCGTGAGGACCCTAAGACAGAACCAGCCGGAAGTAAAAAAACTCGATGGTTCCCTTTCGGGTGAAAAAAATCTTCCGAGCGGCTTGGTCGTATGCCTACTGGTT